ACTTCTGCCTGAACGATATTACAAACAAATCTCCAGTTATACATACACACACTGACCAGTGGCATGCATATATAAATGAAAGGAAATGAGACGTGAGATATATCTATCTATCACCAGTTCCACCAGTCGCTTTGCTTGGAAATTAGACGACATAGGATTACACATGCTCTTTCCGTTCCAAATTGTAAGTATGCTCTTCTAGTCTAGATACATAGCTTCTACCACGTATCTATACGCATAATGTATATCGAGGTAGGAGTACGTAGTACCCAAAATGTCGCTGGCCGTGACAGCGGCATGAGGAATATAGGAGGATCCAGACGTTGCGATACCAGGACGTCACACTTTCCGTGTGATGATGACGATGACGATGGGGTTGGTAGCCAAGAACAAGAACGGAAGGAGATCTGATGGCGACGCCTTGCAGCCCTGCAGCAGCAGGAGTGCAGATGCTCCCTCGGCGGTTGCTTAGCTTCGTCATCCACCCACCACCACAGGCCACAACTCTAGCACTCACACATCCATCCTACTCATACGTCGCCGCCATGTCAGCGTGCAGATCTCGCCGAGAGCTTCCGTACCTTACGTGCGTCAAGAAACGGGATGCGATCCGCCGCACGCCCGAGCTCGAATCGATAAGATCGTCACCTGCATTTATCTGCGCTTCGTTTTAGTTTTTTTTTTCTGAACAATGTTTTTCGTCCATGAACGGGTTCACTGAATGTGGTTGGTTCATGCCGGCGCCGATGACGCCGGGCCGCCGGCAACGGCGGCGACTGCATCATTGGTTGCCATCACTCATCAGGCGTTCGCGAGCGCGTGGAAGAAGGCGTGCTCGCTGGACAACGCGGTGTTCAGTTCAAGGAGGCAGTCGCAGTCGTAGGCGTAGAATGCATTGTGATGTGGTGATGGACCCCGATCCGTGTGATTGATGGTGCAGATCCAGGGCACGATCGTGGCGCCCGAGGAGCTGTCGGAGTGGGACCCGCGGAGCCCCCGGCTGTGGCTGCTCTTCTCGGGCCTCGCCGGCGCGCGCATCCAGGGCGGCGGCGTCATCGACGGCTCCGGCTCCAAGTGGTGGGCCAACTCCTGCAAGATCAACAAGTCCAACGTACGTCGGTGCAGTTGCCTCACTACTGTTACATTGTTCCTTCGTTTCGTTCTTGTTGCTTAAGCATGTCACTGACGCTGTGACGCACTGCCTGGCTGCACGCTGCTCTCGCCGCCGGCGACGACCTCGCTTGCTGCAGCCGTGCAGGGGTGCCCCGACCGCCGTGACGATCGACTCGTGCCGGGGCGTGCGCGTGCGGGGCCTCCGCGTGCAGAACGCGCAGCAGATGCACGTGACGGTGTCCCGGTCCCGCGGCGTGCGCGTGGCCGGGCTGCGCATCGACGCCCCCGAGGACAGCCCCAGCACGGACGGCATCCACGTGGCCGAGTCCACGGCGGTGACCATCCAGAGCTGCCGCATCGGCACCGGCGACAACTGCATCTCCATCGTCAACGGTAGCTTCGGCGTTAAGATGCGGGACATCGACTGCGGCCCGGGCCACGGCATCAGCATCGGGAGCCTGGGCAAGGGCGGCGCGTTCGCGGCGGTGGCGGACGTGGCGCTGGACAGCGCGCGGATCAGCCGCGCGCAGAACGGGGTGCGGATCAAGACGTGGCAGGGCGGCGCCGGCTACGTCCGCGGCGTGCGCTTCGCCAACATCGCCATGGACGGCGTCGACCACCCCATCATCATCGACCAGTTCTACTGCGACGTGGCCCCGGGTGCCAACCAGACCTCCGCCGTGGCGGTCTCCGACGTGTCGTACCGCAACATCAGCGGCGCGCCGAGGCCATCATGTTCGCCTGCAGCGACGCGGTGCCCTGCACCGGCATCGTGCTCAGCGACATCAACCTGCGCCGGGATGATGATGATGGTGAGGTGCAGACCGTGTGCAACTGCGCCGTCGGGTTCGACTACGGCCGCGTCCGACCCGCCGCTGACTGCCTCCGCAGCAGCACATGCGGCGGCGCGCCTGATGACCACCACCCCGACGAGGAGGAGGACGAGAAGGGAAGGACGAGGCCGTCGTCCTGCACACAGAGCTTTGACTCTGAGCAAGCAGCTGCAAGTTGACTGCAACCAATGGCCGTCGCGCTCATCCATCCGACCTTCACTGCTAACTAGTAGTAAATGCTAATTAACCGGCAAATAACCATACCATAATTTCCTTTGTTTCACCGCGTGCTGTACAATTTTTTACACCGGGCCGTCGGTCGGATCCTTTTTGGGGCTTCCGCCAGCGGGAGAATTGGCGCTGGCAGCCCACGCAGCGAACCATTTTGAGGTCCGGCACAATCCATCTCGCTCAGCCCCATTGTATCATTCCGGTCCGCTGTCCGGACAACATGCCCACAACGGCGAAGACAGGTTGGATGGGCCGGGCCCCTGATAACTTAATTGTTTTTTATATTAATTATTATGCCCTTTATAACAATATAATCTAGCTAATCTATGGTGTGCTCTCAAAAGATGCTAATCTATCGTGTGATTAAAAAGTAAACGTCTCCTGTATCGAAATTTCTCCAATCTAATACTAAGTCCTGGCTTGACCACTGACCACAAAGCGAATAAAGCACTCGATGAAATGAAGCAATGTCGTATGAGATTAGAGTGTCCATGTGGGCGGAGCCAGAACGGTTAGTGATCAATTGGACAATTGACAAATATGATATGTCCCACTGTGACTGTTAGCGATGACCAAGCTATGCATATTGGTTTCAAGTCAATTCTCTTTTTTCCTTCCTAAATCCAATAATCCTAAACAAAATGTGCCAGTGCCTCGTCTGCCGTTGAATTGTATAGCTAACCCTTTTTTTTATTCGCTCCAAGCATAGGCCGTGTGGCTAGATTTTTATGAAATACACTGTTCATCACGTTTAATATTCAACCACCCAAAAATAATATCCACCTGTTTAGTACGTGGCTTAGGAGTTTTAATCCAAGTTTGAGAAACCAGATTATTATGGGATTAGCGGTGATGTGCTGGGCAGTGTGGTTGAATAGGAATGATGCGGTGTTTAACTAAAAAAAGCACTAACTCATTCTTGCTGGTAATTTTTAGAGGGACTTTCTGGATTAGACATTGGTCCCACTTGTCCAAAGAGAAAGAGAGAGCTGTTCTGATCGAAGAGAGGGTGCAAGCGATTGGAGGTGATGCTACTTGAAGTTTTTGGAAGAATGAGATCAAGGCTGCAGAGGAGTTTTGAATACTTAGTACCTTGATGTTTGACCTGTTCTGACAAGTGTCATGTTCGTTTGACTGATAAGCCATGGCTGAAAGTACTGTTGGCTGATTTGTTGTGAGAGAAAAATACTGTTTATTGGCTAAAAAAGTACGGCTTATAAGCCAAGCAAACAGGGCAAAGAATGGTAGTTATTTTGATTTTGTGTTTTGTGTGCCCCGCTTGGCTGAAAGCAACCTTTTAACCTAAATTTGTAACGATCGGTTACACCCATTCATTCGTGAGTGTGGGAGACCAGAATGCTTATTTATTAATTAGAAAAATCGACACTTGCCCGTTGCCAACAAAGCGAAGAACTCATTGGCGATGAAACGAAGCAATGCAGCATGATTGATTGTCCATGTGGGCGGATCCAGATCAGTTGGCGATCAGTTGCCAAATATGATATGGTCCACGTGAGCGACGACCAAGCTATGCAGATTAGTTGCAAAGTCAATTCTACGTTTTCATCAAAACAAAATGTGCCAGTGTGCCTCGTCTGCCGTTGAATTGTACGTATATATAGTTAACCCTTTTTTTTATTCGCAACAAGCAGGGCGTCAGACTATATACATTAGCTAATATTCCATCATTTCGTTACACCTCGCCCGCGCGGCGACCATCATTTGGTTACGTCTCTGTGAATTAAGCTGCAGGGGAGGGGGTCCGTCTCGTCGTTCCGGCCGGAGCCAGGCAACACAGTCCCCAGCAAGGGGAGAGGAGCTAAGCAAACTGGTAACAAATGTATGTTCAATTCATCTAGCCTCGCATACCCCCTGTCAGTCTGTATTCGTCCATACGAGATACTCACTGCGGTGAATTAACAGTGTCTTTATGTTCAACGGCAATCTATCTTCCAGTAAAGTAGGAAGCCACGGTAGTTTCAATCCTAGCTTAGCCTAATCATGATCACTACCTCAATTAATTAGCTGTGGAACTTCGATGCTTAGGATATAGTTGATGTAGATGATGTAGGTCCTTAGTGTTCACTGGATGGGACTTGATGCTCATGATTGGTAATAAAGAACTTGATATAGATGTAAGATGTGCAGTACAAGTCTCCTAGACACGGATTCGACCATCTAGACCCGCTGATGCCTTATTAGGCCGGTTCTAGTGTATCCAGGGTTCAAACTTTCGGCGAAATTTTGCCGAAATTTCACAAATTATTTCTATAATTTCGGTGGTGGCCGAAAGAAAAATCCTAAATTTTGTTACACTAATACATGTGCTATATAGCTTTTTTTTGAAGAAACTGCTATATAACTTTACACCCATATTTTCTATTATTTATGTTGCATATTATTATACTCAATAGATGTGTAGTTATAAATCATGCTAATATTTGTTTAGATCTTTTTTTTAGAAAAATCATACTTCTTGTGCATGTCTCTAAAAAAATTCGGCGAAATTTCGTAAATTTTGGGGATGGACAAAACTTTTTTAATAGCAAAATTGAAAACCCTATTTCAGTAATTTCAGTTGAATACCCTTCAATAAAGCTAGATCCACCCCATGGTAATGCCCGTGGTGATTTGGTCATTGCAGGCCCCCTTTCTGTGGTTACCACTTCCTTGTCTCCATACATCACCTAAACTACAGTTGCTACCCATGGTTCACATCGTCCTGTGGTAATATGCGTTTACGGCAACTGTTTTGCCTGACAATTATTATCACCTTGATTGATGCAGAAGGATTCTTGTGCTGGCGACGGCTGAGGAGGTAGAATGGATGACTTTGAACATATCCGTATGACATATAAGTCTCTGAAACAAATTACAGGCGACTTCAGCACTGTGATCGGAAGAGGCCCGTTTGGAGTGGTTTACGAGGTAACTTTACCTGTTCATTGTACTAGCATGAAAAAGAAAATTAGTGCACTTTTTAACGACTGCACAGTAATTGAAAATATGACCACAGTAATTGTTTGTGCAACTAAGGCGTACTCTGAATCTTGGTTATGTATCTGATTGGTAATCGGAGGCCAGGGATCTATTCTCCTGGATTTCCAAAAGAAATACTCATATAAACCATCGATGTTCACCAGGGACAAGGTAGTGGCACCCAGGAACTTGCCGTGAAGGTTCTTGACTCCTCTGCCGGAGTTGGTGGCCAGGAGGATCTTGACAGATTTGTAAGGGTCCTTGCTAAGGTCAAGCACCCAAACATTATTCAGTTACTGGGCTACTGCTACGAAACATCATTCAAGCACCCAAACATTATTCAGTTCATGGCGCTCTGCTTCGAGTATATGCACAATAGATGCCTCCACAACTATCTTTGGGGTGCGACCGATTTTGCTGGACATAACATGAATCATATATGAGGCCTGAATTTTTTTTTAGTATTACTTACAATTTACACTTCACGAGTTCTCTGTTTTCTTATACAGATGACACAGACCATGGACTTGGTTGGCACATACGCTACAAAATAATTAAAGGAATATGCGAGGGATTAAAATACCTTCATATGAACTCGGAAGCTCCTATCTTTCATTTGAATCTAAAACCAGCCAATATACTGCTAGATAAAAAACTGGTCCCGAAAATTGCAGATTTTGGTTTACCTGTTCTCCACAGTTCTGAAACAATAATAACATCTCTTGAATCGATGTAAGTTCCCTGCAGAAATGTATGTTTCACTTTTCCTCTACTGAAAACATAACTATATTAATAATCACTGATTTTATTGTGATGCAGTGAACACTGCCCCCCAGAATTCATAAGAAGTGGGGCTGTGTCAAATAAACACGACATCTTCAGCTTGGGTGTTATATTCATAAAGATAATGGCTGGAAATAAGGGGTACTCACTCGTTCATGAAACGGGTCCAGGCAGCTTTAGTGAATATGTAAGGAAAACAAACTAACCATTTGTAACAAGTATCAGGTTTGGTTTGGAAAATATATATACTATATGTCAGCGCATTACGATTTTATATATTCTGATTTTTTGAGGTTTTCAACAAATGGAGGACAAGGCTGCAAGCAATACCAGGGTACACAACACTCGATACAGACTGCCAACAAGTGAAAACATGCATTGAGATTGCATTAGAATGCATAGCGGAAGAAAGAAATAAAAGGCCTACTATAGGGGACATCGTGGAACAGCTAAATCTGACAGAGGTATGTACGTTGATGGATAGATAATTTGATGTTATCTTCTTCATGTAGAGCTAGCTCTCCTCTCAGGCAATGTTTAAAAACAGACCATGTTTTACGTTGCTATACATGCAACCTTGTACAGTTTGGAATGCCAAGGTTACACGCATGCTATACTCGCTGATACCTATAGTGGTCGTATCTTGATTGGCCATAATTACCTAGAATATGTTCAGAGCCTAAAAAAGAGATTATTGTTGACCACAACAGAAGAAAAGAAATAAACCAATAGTACAAGAAAGAGTAGATAGGAAATTTGGCAAACCTATTTACCATGGCAGTCGCTGGCTTGCTGCAATTTCCCACTATCATGGATGCGTTATTTCTTCTCCTCCTTCCCTAACTTCTGCAGAAAATGGAAGCAGTGAGAAACTTGAGAACATTTGCACCATACATAATGCAGTCCAAATTGCCGCATTTGAAATTTGCTTTTCTGGTGCAGTATTGACATTAGTAAGAAGTGGTTGTTGCACATAAGACTCTAAGAGAAAGGGGCCAGCAAGTAAGGAAAATGTGTTCCAGACTATACATAGGAAGACACGGTATAATGAAACATCCGGCCTCCACCGTACATAGGGGTTGGCAAAGGAAAGGAATGTACAACTGTTCAAGCTTCTAAGAAGATAGCAGTACTTATACAGCTGTTCATATATCTAGCACAACTGTACTGTACTGCATCTCTAAGAATATGTAGCAGTACTGTACTGCTCTTCTTCTCACCCTATACATCAAATAAACTGCATCGGGACCTAGGCAATTCTCAAGTGTAAAAAATAATTACAAATGGTCTTTTGCAGAAGCAAGTATCCATGTTCTGCGGATGAAGAAATAAAATCTGTATAGCTTCCAGACCTCTAAAGAATTTTCAATTGATCTAGTCGCTTATTCAATTTAGCAGAGAACTTCCCATATATGAACTAATCTACCTTAATGTTACAGAACAGACTTAATGTACCTTCATAGTATATGAACCTCTATATATTTTAATACCAAACTAGATTTAGTATGCATAATTGTTACAGAACAGAGTTAATGTACCTTCATAGTATATGTTTTCTCCTTGGTCACAGTCCAGCCAAAGTATCAAATAAGTGCAGCCGCGAGCTTCTTTAGCTAGATGTCTGCGTATGAGCCTTTAACAAAACTACACATCAGTGTTGTATTTAACCCTGGGACATTACGATCCTTATTGGGTAAAGGGAAACACATAAGTAAAAAAAGCTGGAACAGTGGAACATATAACGAAGATACAAATAAACATAACATCAGACAACTACTACTATTGGGATTCAGAAATTTTGCAGGTTCTGCAGGTGTAACTAAGAGGGGCACACCCAGTGCAGAGAGCTCCCGCTCTGTGCGGGGTCTGGGGAAGGGTGTCAGTGGCAAGCCTTACCCTCGCCTGTGCAATGCGAGGAGACCACGACTCGAACCTGGGACCTTCCGGTCACAGGCGGTAAGACTCTACCGCTTGCACCAGGCCCGCCCTTCTGCAGGTGTAACTAAGAGCCTGCCAAAAATTGGAGGAAACAATAACCAGGACATTTGTTGATTAAACTAGAAATTAAACTATTATCCTTTATTGACATAGACTAATCTGCCTTAGAACCTGGAGTAACACTTTTCTCAATCCATATATTTGCCATCTGTCATGAGGATTAAACAGATACTTAGGTACGAACTGGAAGCATAGAACTCACAGATACTCAGGTTTCTACAAGTTTCCACTTTCCAGGCAGTTCCACATAAGAAATAGCTGTCCTACACAGGAGTGATATACAGGAAAATTAGACCATGACCAACTGTCCAATACAATACACAGGAAAATTAAATAACTATTAGTCTACTGCAGATATAAGAGCATCAACTGATCATCTGACAACAATTTAAAATCACGAGCAGAGCCAAAAACATCTTCACCAGACCATCACAACATATCAGCATATCAGAGCAACACGGGATAAGAAACAGTAAGAGAAAAATGACAAGCCACATCCATCTAAGTTCCTATTCCATTACCATTCATCAACAGCAAGCAAAAATTGAAGAAATACATATTATCAAATACTGTTCAGCAAATATTAACCAACCAAAAGCATAGTTCAACTACAAAAACAAGATTCCATCACCATAGTTCAACTACAGAGACAAGATTAACCAACCAAAAAAGCAGTTTTCCTCGACTACATTCCAAATTGAAGTAATGCATATTATCAAATACCGACATATCATTGAGCAAATAATCCAGATCTGTATGCTAATCAAATGGCATATACTAATTAGCAATGAACTAGTATAGAAAACATGAAAAGATGTTCGGGATGAGAAAAATCGGAATATTGAGAGTTAACCAGATCTGGGCACAAGATGCGCAGGCCACCACGGGCGACGAAGGCACAGGTGGCCAGGTGGGGAAGACGGAGACCACGGCGGGGTCGAGCTCAATGCTGGCATGAGCGCTGTTGCTGGAGTTCGCAGGGTGGCGGGCTGTAAGGACGGCGAAGCGGAGGCCAGCGACGTCTTCTGCGGGAGAGTGGGGGCGTTACAGCGGTGGCGAATCCGGTGACCTGCTGCTCGCCGAGCGGCGACCGGCGGCTGCTATGTGCCTATGTGTGTGTGGACGATGGCTGGACCTGGAGAAAACAGTGAGATAGAGTTTTGGTGCAAGAGACTGACAGGTGGCCAGGTGGGTCATCGAAAAAGTTTACGACTGTTGAAATATATCAACAGATATGAGTTGGTACAAATGAAAATAGCTATCGATATCGGCTAGAAATTTTTACATACCAATCGTTCGCCGTTATTATTCCCCTTTAGCGACTGTTGTTCGACACTAATTTTTGGCCGTGGTATAGTTAATGGAGCTCAACAGCGTAGAACGCATAGTTAATGGAAGTGAGGAACCAAGCCATCTAGATTTGGCACTTCTACATAGCATCACGGAAAATTTCTCTGAGAAGAAGAAAATTGGTAGCGGTGGATGTGGAATTGTTTACAAGGTAATTTATTTTTTATGCCACAAGACCTTCAAATTTTCTAACTACTGACTGCATAGAAAATTTTGATATAATGTGTGTGGTTGCGCTCACAAGATGATTTAAATAGGGCATCCTTCGAAATGGGGTCGTTGCTGTGAAGAAACTCAAGGATGATAATTGGAAAATTAATGACGGGATGTTTCATCGGGAGGTTATAAGCTTGATCTCGGTTAAGCACCCAAATATAGTACGATTTCTTGGTTACTGTTCTTTTACAAAAGAACTTGCGATACCATTGGAAGGAACAACTATAATGGCCGATGTACGAGAAAGGTTGCTCTGTTTTGAATACATAAGAAATGGCAGCCTTGACCAACATCTTTCAGGTACATTACCACATTGTAGTGATCACTTAAAAAGCCATTTGCTAATTTAGTTTTTTTTTATCCACCAGACCTGCAAATTTCCTCACTGTATAGAAAAAATTATCTTACTATTATTAGTTAGAGGCTCTATGTTAATTCTCACTAAAAGCGTTAGGAAAAAAAGATAAACCCAAAAAATTGTTACAATAATAAAAAAACATATGGCCTTTAATTGGTAGACTCTAATCATCATCATCATCAGTAATAACCATTATATCTATTTTATTTTATAAATAATTACTCACATCTAACATTATGGAAAATACATAAAATAACCACCTAATTTTGCATCTAAATTACCTATTTATGCAATTATGAAAGATAATTCAAAACAATCCCCTAAATTTGTATATAAATTACCCATCTCTGTCATTATGAAAAATTGCATCTAGACTGCCCACCCTTCAATTATGAAAGATAATTCAACATAACCCCCTAACTTCATATCTAAATTACTCATCTCTACCATTACCAAATATAATTTAAAATAACCCATTAATAACCTTTTAAATTATCACAATTTCTATTATGAAAGATAATTCAAAGTAATACTTACATTTACATTCAGATTACCCATATATGCCATTATGAAAGAAAATAAAAAGTAACATATTTTAATTTGTATCTAAATTATCTACCTCTTCCATCCTAAAGAAATAAACAAAAATATTTCTCACCTACATATAAATACTAATATAAGGTATCAAGAAAATAATTTTATATCCATGAGGACTCCATATATATATATTTCTTAATTACACACTCCTATAACAGTTAAGTTAAAAGTAAGCGCAATACTATGTTCTGCAATGTTGACCAAAGGTAAACATGTATCCTTCCTAGAGGCGTTTGTAGGTTTTCGTGGGTTCTTTATGCAAACACACTAGGCCGGTTTCAGAAAATAGCTAGGCTAGATTTTGCGGCGTTCACCGTGAGGTTATCTTTGTGTAATATTTTTGTAAGAGTATTTTGGTGTGTGGTATAGATTTGCACCCACATTTAGTAATCATAAATCAATTATTGATGACTACCACCTTCTAAAATACTATGTTTTCATCTTTTATTTCTTCAGATGAATTGAGGGGACTCGAATGGCAAACACGCTACCAAATAATTATCGGAATTTGCAGGGGTCTGCATTATCTCCACAAGGATAAGGAAATCATTCACATGGATCTCAAACCAGGCAATATACTACTAGATGACCTCATGGTGCCCAAAATTACAGATTTTGGTCTATCTAGACCCGAAAGTGACTCACATGCTACAACTACACGTCTCATAACACCGTAAGTTCCAAATTCTTTCATATGTATGAACTCTTTATTATGTCATGCGCATCAAACTGTTGTACTATTGTGCGAGAGGATATCTGGCTCAGAATACATTACAGAGGCAAAGCGACTAGCAAGTCGAGACATATCTGATTTGGGTGTAATAATTATAGAGTGGTGGACCTGGAAGTAGAACGAAGCCCAATATTACTAAAGTAAGACAAACGGTCTAATTACCTTTGTACATTTTTCATAATCATGCATGATTAGATCTTCCAATATATATATGTGGCTGTGAATTTCATGAGCTATTGGTAATCGTAGATAACTATGGTCTGCCAGAGCTAGCATGTCCTTGAATCATAGAGATATGCTTGTGTCACAGTTTGAGGCCAAGTAATGAAGTGTCACCAATGCGGGATTGGGTAACCTCCTAGAGATGAGAATTGTTTTGGGTTTTTTCTTACTTTTTATGGTGGTGGTGGTGGTGGGATGTGTGTGTCTTTATTTAGTACTTTAATTGTGAACATGGCAGGTAATTAGAAGGTGGAATCACCGGTGGATTAAATCAATGGAACAGTCATCATTGGGTTACCAACAAGTGGCAAAATGTCCGGAGTTGGCCCTAAGATGCACACAAGATGAACCGAAAAACAGAGACTGATATATCGAGATATAATCGATGAGTGAAGGAAATAGATACTAAACATGGCCAAGCCCAAATCCAGGTAAGGGCATATATATGCTCCCTAACAAAACCTAGACAGCACTAGATTTGCATGATACACCATGTGTGTTATCTCACACGTCCTTGTTGTTTGCAGGACATCCTTGGGATTGAGCCGCTGGAAATACACATTCCCTTTGAAGAATTCAAGATATCACACTCAATAGAGCTGACCAACGATACTGATGATCACATTGCCTTTGTCACAAAGTCAAAGCTAGAGCGCTTCTACACAGAGCCAGATAGAGGCATCGTCCCACCACGATCTAAGTGCAGTGTCACCCTAGCAATGCAAGCACAGGTTAGTGCACAACCAAATGAGCACTACACTGAGGTGATCACTGTGCTGAGCACTAGAGTTGATGATGGAGCTCTCGCTACTATGGATATAGTAACAGCTGGAGACATCTTCATTGACAGCGAGGAGGGTAAAGTGGTTGATGAGGTGAACGTGATGGTTGTTTTTGGCACGCTAGAACTGCCAGGAGAAGAATAATCCTGAAGAATGTCAAAGCAGGTTTCGGCACGATTATTACTGAAATATTTCTGAGTTACCCGGAGGCAGCAGGGTCATGTGGAGAGGTACTAAATCCGTTCCAAATTATAGTTCGTTTGACTTTTTTTTTACCCAAAGTTTGACCACTCGTTTTATTTAAAATTTTGTGCAAAATATCACTTCTTTTGTTGTGGCTTGTTTTATTAACAAAAGTTTATCAAGAATGACTCAAATTTGACTATGTTTGCATAATTTTTTTGAATAAAATGAGTGGTCAAACTTGGGATAAAAAAATCAAACGACCTATAATTTGGAACGAAGGGAGTATATATGAATATGAGGACGTTGACTGATACCTATGTGTCCTGAGTCACCGTATAATTACTAGCAGTACGGCGCTAGATTTATTTTCCTATTTTGCTACTGTGGTATTTCAAACATTTTATATATTACATACAGATAGAAATATGTTTGCAATATAATGAAAGTTCCCGTCGATCCTGATGATGGACCTGCTGGAACAGGAGATCATGGAAAGCACAAAAATGATGCCCCATTCTTTTTTTTGAATGAACAACGCCCGACATGTGTGTTTCTATTGATATATCAACAGAAGAAGACAATGGCCCTGATTGAAACCGCTTATCTAAGAATTGATTATTTTAATCTGGTCATGGTTTTTTAATAAGCTGTGGTCTAAAGAACCTCCAGTTTGTATAATTGGGGTATTTGGCAATCCTGATTAGTGTAAAATGAGTTGTATGCTCTGAGACTGATGATAGCTTATTTTCTGACTGAATATAAGATTGAGCCTCACAAAATAAGGAAATACATAAGACGCAACTGTTAGAAAGCAACAGGACTGGATGAAACGTACGTTCCAGCAGACAGCTCCCTACATGATTTGTGGCTGATAGAGTGATAGTGATTGGAAGTATGGATGAATATCAAGACTTAAAGTTAGTTGATGCAAGGTCACATTGGAACGAGTAGATAAAATTCATGACGAGTGCATGAATCCATGACTGACGTTGCAAAACCAGAGACTCGTCGAAGTATCAGAGGAGCAAATCTTAACACTGCACAGAGGAAGGAAGCGCGCACATACCAGACTCGGCGCTTCCGCGGTCGACGTCGAAGCCGCCGAGCAGAAGAGCGGAGGGGAGAGGAAAAGGGTCTTTCCGGCTTCCGCCTGACGGCGCTTCTCACTGCGGCGCGCCCCAATTACCATAGTCTGTTGGGCTCAATGATCCATTTAGCAGTCTGTCCTGTCGTCCTCGATTCCCTGCCCGTTGCATCGCCGTCATCGTCGTTGGGGATCCTACACTTGGTGCGCGCCCCTGCCTCGGTGGATTGGATCCTACGCTACACCAGTGTCCTGCTCCTGCGTGGGTGGCCGCTCCTTTTCAGCATTCCGAGGTCAGCGTTCGTGCCTCCATTCATCGGGTCCTAGTACCTCCGTTCCTCATCCTTTCCTCGTGCTTCAGTTCCTGCTACTGCTTTGTATTGACTGTTGCTGATGTGCTCCTGCCACCCTCAATTCGAACAGCTCAGCAACACGTCCTAGTACGGATGGTGACCTATGCCGACGTACAGACTGTAATTGAATGCTCGCCTAACCCTTTGCCTTCCTTCCCTTATCAAACAGCTCAGCAACACGTCCTAGTACGCGTAACGCGTTGACGAATCATCGCTGCTTCCTCGGTCGCTCAGCAGCCTCGACGATTCCCATTTCCCAAGATCAGAAATCACCGACGTTCCGCTTCTCCCCGCCCCCGTCGCCGGCCGCCGCACGGCTGATCAAATCGTCCGTCCCATCGTCTCCGTCACCTGTCCAGGATGTCGGGGAAGCGGGAGCTGGACCAGGTCGACAGCGGCGTCGGTGCCGGCGGCGGCGCCAATGAGCAACCGCACCACCACCAGCCGGTGGATGGCGCGGCCGGCTTCCCGTGGACAGATGTGGAGTTCGTGAGGCTGCGCACCACCATGCGCGAGAAGATGTAAGTTCTAATTTGTAGCCTTCGGTCTTAAAAAAAAGTTTTAATTTGGGACTCTCCAGTGTTGACTTCACCGATCGCAGTCAGTCTCCAACCGAAGGGATTGGAGGAGATTGGTGGGGAATTTCCAGCGAATTGAAGACTAAGGGCGTCCCAGTGATACGATCGATTTCACTAGCTTAGCTGAAGGTGAGAGAGTGAGAAAATTATTATCTTATTTCCTTCATCCCCACCTGCAGAGCGTTGCCGTAAATCCTGCTCTTACAGTTCCTCCATCCCGGTGAAATAGCCTGCCGATTATCCCGTTGCTAGAGAGATGCTTTTTTCATTGTTTAATACTTCCACGTCGGACGAAGCTGGCAACGTAGCCTGTCACTGAGGACGCGACCGTCTCCAATAGGTATAGGTGATCTATGGACACCTAAACCTAAAAATGAGTAGCAGGAGATCTAAAAACAATCTCCAACAAAGTATCTCTACGGGAGACTTAATTTGAGTTGTCGGAGAGGCACAATCCAAATATGAGTATCATCTCTCCTGAAAACCTATTTACAGAAAGTATTCTCTTTTGGGTCCTGTTGTTGGAGAGGACGTCGAATGGATATTGAACCATTTGACTGTAGTGCTACCCAAACGTTGAATGTGTCTTGTATTTTGGGTGTTGTTGTTGGAGATAGTCTAAGGACGTAGGTAGCTAGACAAGACTTAGAAATAATAAAAATTGAATACTTTAGTGTAGTGTTATGTAAGCTGTGAGAGAGTTGTTTGTAGGAGATAGTGTTAGACTAGCTATTTGGGAGTCGCCGATCTCTCTTCGTCAATAAAATTCTTCTGAGACTGGCTATTTGGGAACTGAGACGCCTAACCGAACGACTAGTTCTGCTCTGTTTTTCCATCTAGGCACTTGTGGCTGTCTGGACTGCTAAACAGGGAATCAAGTTTTTTTTTCGGGAATGGAATCCAAGGTTTTTGAAGTGTGCCCGTTAACAAATTTTTTTCCACAATACTTATTTCCTAATTTCCGTGATGACCAAGGCGACAACAGAGTTTTTACACTTAGTACTACTTATGTATGTTACTGAATATAGATATATTGTACTTAGTAAGTACTACTCATGTTATTGTCTTCCCTTCTCATGAGGAGTTGCACATAAATTTTCACACTAGTTGAATTCCAGTACAAAACCCCTGTACCCCAGCATTTTTTTAGTGCATGTGGCTGATTTTGTGAACCCTGTAGAAGGTATGGGACTGAGGTTTTGACTATTCTTAAGGATATTTAAGTTATTGACTTCATTTTGTATTTTGAAATTAGTTGAATCACCTTCCTAAGCACCCCAAAGTTTAGGTTTGTGACTGATTTTTTCAGATAGAACATATATATGACTTACTTTTTTTATACTGTTCTTAATCTTAAATCGGCAGATTCGAGTATATAGGAAAGCTACCGACGACATCAGCTGAGTGGTGTATGCCAGTGGCAGCGCAGCTTGAGGAGATCTTGTATAGAAAATTTCCAAACAAGTACCGCTATCCCCTTCCCTTTTCTTTTGCGAAGATTTGTTCTACTAGAGATCAAGTACATTTCTGGGGAGCAAAAGTTAATCTTGCTGTTTCACCCTTTCGGTTGCTTGATCATGGTATTGTTTGAGCAGAATGACTACTCCAATATGATGAAGGGACCAATTAAGCCACAATTACAGTTTGCTATTCAGACCTTGAGGGCTCAGCAAAATCAACGAAACCCACAAGTGGAAAGGCAGACACAACCTTCATCCAGCTCAAATCTGGTATATCTTTGTGCATTTTTTCCATATTTAATACTTTAACCTTCTTCATTTAACCTACGGGGCTAGTTGCAAGCCATGTGGTTCACTGCTTCTGTTGTTTTAATCCCCTTCTTCCCTCTTAAGAAAAACGGACACATAGCCTTGTTCACGAAAAAAAAAAGGTTGAAGCCAGGTGGGCACTATGTGTGACAGCAAACGGGCTGTGAGAGGAAGAAGACGGGGACATAACTTCCAGTTAGGATTAATATAATGGATTAGATGTTTTGCGATGGGTAATTTTTGGCTGGATAAATTTGTAGTGGCAAATAATGAAAATACTCCTGAAATTCAATAGCGGTTTGCAACCCCTGTCGACAGAATATCATCGGCAATCCTCCGAGGGGTATCCCACGAAGATAGATTGATCGGCAGAGAGGCGTGTAATCAAGAACAAGAAGGCAACATAGACACACGAGTTAGACAGGTTCAGACAGTCAGTATGACGTAATACCCTACTCCTGTGGTCTATTGGTTTGTATTGGCTATCGTATGATATTGCGTGAGTTTGAAGGGGGTCCCTGCCCGCCTTATATAGTCCGGTGGACAGGGTTACAAGTCGGTTAGATCTGAAGGATAACCGAAAAGTAATAACAGATTACAGGAATCATGGGATCATACGTATCCTAACAGATCTCGTAGCATCTTCAGGATATCTTGCCAGTATCTTGCGGAATGCGCCGAGCAGAGTCGTGGCCCGCAAGGCTTCATCTCGTGGGCTAGGCCGCCCCTGGGGGCGCAGCCCATGTCGTCTGCCGTGGGTATCCGGGGTCGTACCCCCCACAGCTAGTCCCCGAGCGCCTTTATATCCGTTGTGCAACGCCGTCTTGAGCTTGTCCGAGCAGGTGCGAAAAAAGCCGAGCAATCAAACTCATGGTCCGACCACCGTGATGAGTTATCGAGCAGTTGTGAGCAGTTGTCGAGCAACGTAAACCGTTGCCAAGCAGTGTAACCCAAGTACGGCTTGCCATAAGGGTGTAAGGAGTTGAAGTTCATAATCGAAAATTTCTTCGCATTGGACCAAGTGTGCCCACTTAGAGTCCGACCACGAGAAAAAGAAATAGTCTGCAAGAGGCGCGGAGTCTTCTAGAATAAAGCAAACACATTCACCGCGAGGTGAAGTGTGCCCACTTAGTACCCGAGCCTGACAGTAGATGACGTGGTCATGTGGTGCCAGGGTCCAAAGTAGAAGAATAGTAGAAGACCAGCCGAGCAGGCAGCCAGTCCCCGAGCGTAGCCTCGAAATGAGAAAAAGCACATTCACCGTAAGGTGAAGTGTGCCCACTTAGTCCCCAAGCCTGACAGTAGGTGACGTGGTCACGTGGTGTCAGGGTCAGAAACAGTGGTCAACAGGAGAAAGTCCCCAGTACGGTGAGGAACCGAGACGTAGTGCTGATGCAGTCCCCGAGACACAAGAGGAAACCTTGGAGAAATTAAATTGCGGAGAAAATACCGGAGTAATTGCTGTACAGTAGTAATTACTGAGCCGTAACGGTTGGCGGAGAAGTCGGTGAATATTCGGCGAGCCGTAACAGATTGCGGAGATAAATGGGCGATACGGGCCGCAGTTGCGCGAAAGTCCAGGTAACGGCCCACCTTGCTGTTGCGGGTAATTCGGAGAGGCACAAATCCAGAAATGGTTTCTCAAAACCCCTCGAATGTGAAAGAGTGGATGGAGTGCTTTATAACTGCGCTGCCGCACCCCACGCTCCCACATTTGCCACTTTACCATTTCGTCTCCCTCCTTAGCCGTCACAATTCTAGATTCATACGCACTTCCGCTGCTAATCCTGAATCGGATCTGAGGCATGGCGCCGAAGAAAGGAGCTGTGAAACCGAAGAGGGCGGCCTCCGTTGCCAGCCGTGACGAGGAATGGGTGCCGTCGAGGATGGGGGAGGTGGAGATCAACAGGATGGTGGAGGCGAGCGTTCTTCCTGACCGAGTCACCGCCGGATGGCGGCCAGCCAGCGGTGAGCCTTTCCCTATGCCTCATACTGATGAAATAGTGGTGTTTGAGGATTATTTCTAGCGCTGGTTGGGATTTCCTGTTCATCCTTTCCTGAGGGATCTGTTGGAGTTCTGGGCTATTAGTCTGTGCAATCTCCACTCAAATATCATCTTGCACATCTCGATCTTTATCCACTTCTACAAAGCGTATTTGGGGGTTCTTCTGCACTTCAGTCTCTTCAGACACCTGTTCTGGTTGAAGAAGAAAGGCGGCGGTGGTTCCAAGGTGGTCGGCGGAGTGTATCTGTAACTCCGGGATGGAATGGCGAGCGAGTACATCACTATATTGCTGAATACTTCTCTGAAGGGGTGGAACGCCAGGTGGTTCTACATGAAGCAGAGCCATCCTGCAATCAGCTGTGATGTCGACCACATCCCGGAGAACCAAAAGAGCTGGTCTGAGAAACCGAGCAGTGCCGACATGGAGCAGGTGAGGGAGCTCCTTGACCTGATAAAAGGCGTGGAGATTAACAGCGGACTGGTAGCGGCGAGCTTCATAAAGCGCCGCGTCCAGCCCTGCAAGGAGAGGGCCCACCCGGGCTTTGACTTCAAGGGCGACGATGACGGCACCCGGGAGAGACCGAGGAGGCTGAAGAGGAGTGAAGTGCTAGAGCGGGTTGCAGAGCTGTTCGCTCCAAACGCCTTGTTCAGCGTGTCAAGGCAGACGAGGGCCTTCAACTGTACAAATCCACCTCCTTAGGTAACCATCTCAATTGTTTTGTTCGTGATGCTTTTTATCCTTGATTGTTGCCGAGTAGTGAACTGATTCACTTATGCAAAGATCCATTCGTAGGAGAGAGCGGTGTACTTCTCGGGGGTGCCGAGGGGCGATTGGCCGCAGGCAGTAGATGCCCGGCCACCAGCTCGGCCTGAAGAAGATGCGGTCAGCGCTTCGTCAGAGTCTGAAGGCGCAGACGCTGGTCGGACGGAGAGTAACCCCCCAGTATCGGAGAAAGTCCGGGGGAAGCAGGCAGTGGTAGATGAGCCGGCTCGGAAAAAGAGGAAGATAGCGGGTGCTGTTCCCCGCAAATCGGGCAGCATCTCTCTTGGTGGTGACCAGACCACTTGGACACGAAGTGTGGTGATGTCCGAGTGGTCAGATGCCGACGGGGCTCCGGTAGCTCCTTCTCCGAGCATGGTGATGCCTCCGCGCAGCACACGCGTGGAGGAGCAACCGAAAGGAGGGGAGGGAGTCCCCGAGCAACGGGCGAAGGGAATCCCAGAGCCGTAGGCTTGGGAAATCTCAGAGCAGCAGGCGGAGGAAAGGCCGACGGTGGAGACTGCCGGACCTCCACGCCAGGGCACGCAAGTTGACCCCATGGCCGCGCCTAGGGGCTCAGGCCGGCAAC